GGGCGCGGGCTCCCGCGGGGCAGTCACTGTGCCGCCCGGGCGCCCCACACTCGCTGCCCGAACCCAGGGCAGGAGCAGGATCGCAACAGCCCTCGCCACCCGCACAAGTGAGTGACCCACCCTGCTGCCACAGCCTGCCCTCCTTTCTCACCCCCGGGGACGAGCCCCAACCACGGCCACCTCCTCCACCCACACACTCCCCCTTCCTCCTACCAGCTCTTCCCTTCCTTTCAGGGACAAGCGACTTACTACCCCTCCCTAATACCCCTTAACCCCAACATAGCAACAGCCCTCGCCACCCGCACAAGTGAGTGACCCACCCTGCTGCCACAGCCTGCCCTCCTTTCTCACCCCCGGGGACGAGCCCCAACCACGGCCACCTCCTCCACCCACACACTCCCCCTTCCTCCTACCAGCTCTTCCCTTCCTTTCAGGGACAAGCGACTTACTACCCCTCCCTAATACCCCTTAACCCCAACATAGCCCGACTACCCCGCCCCCAGGGAGACTGGAGCAATGTGCACAGCGCCACAGAGCAGAAGAACCACACTTGAAACCTTGTATGTGTGTGATGGAAACCACTTCAAGGCAGGGCAGCAGAAGCCACCCCACTTTCAGCACCTATGCCAGCCCTTTCCCATCCTCTGTTCGCTAATATGAAAAGTCCATGGCTGGGGCCAGAGCTACACAGCCAAAACCAGAGCTCCCTGGCTGCTGCTGGGGGTGGGGCCAGAGCTCCCCACTGTGCCACCCATTGCCCTCCTTCCCCACACACACAAACTGGGCTCTGAGTTGCAGGTGCCCCCTACTGCACTCCTGTCCTGCCCCCAGACCTCCCTGTTCCTGGGCTCTGTGGTCCAGGAACATCCATGCTCAGTGCCTGACCACAGATGTTGCCGGACCAGGGTGTCCCAGTTAAGGGAGGAACAACCTATAAAATGTACATCAGGCCTTGGCTTCCTTTTGCAGGGTTAATGAATCTGGGGAAATGAGTCAGTCCAGAGCAACAGTGTTGGTTAGCAGCTTCTTCCTGAAAATCTGTGGATAAAAAGGAGGACCATCTCAGATTAAATTAATCCAGACCAGTTTTCCCCTCGACTATCCCAGTTTAAAGTATAACTAGTCTTCAGTAGTACAAGCGATGAGGTAAAGTATGATGCATATTTACACCAGAGCACATGCCATAGCTTCCACTATACAGCTCCAACAAAACTTGTACATCTCAAATACTGTACATCTCTCCATAAACAAACACTACTGGGAAAGGAAAAGGTCTCAGAGGAGCTAAAAATAAACTGTGCTAATGTAACCCACAAACCTAGTGTGGTTCACTGTCCCATGCAGTGGCACTTAGACCATTTACAGCCAGAGATAAAAACAAGGGAGCTATACAGCCTAAGCTGACAGCCAGCTGGTTTTATAGCTCAAGATGTAGAGGCTCCTATACTAACCTACAGCAAATCCACCAATAGCGGTTACACTAAAATGCAGGAATATGTAACAATTTGCTAATCTGTATTAAATAATATTTAAATATTGAAAATGTCATAATTATTTAGAGTATAGGGGTTTTTATTTTGTTTAAGAAAGAGGAGCGAGAAGGAAAGTGTGTAGAAATATATCTGACATTTAGTAATACACTTAACCTCAAATACAGTTTTGAAAAGTATTTTCTTTACACATTCTTCTGAAGTACTATAAACACATTATACAATCCAGACAATAAGCACAAAGGAGTATTGCAACATAATTGTAAACTGCTAAATCGCTAAAAAATACAACTAATAGATTGCACATTGTACATCTTTGAGTGGAAATGAAAAATACTTGCTTTGTTCTAAACATAATGCAGTTTTATACTGCCACTAGGTGGCTACTTTGTTTATCAGAGTGTTACACTAAAAACACAAGACAGCAGCTCTTACACACACTAACTTCAGTTATAAGATCCTATTCACAGATGCTTATGACAAACTTAAAAAAAAATACCGAGGCTGACATTTCTCATATTTGGTCAAAGTCAAGGGGTGAAATCAAGTCCCTGTTCTGACAAAGACTTCCTGTATGACTGAGCATGTCACTTAGCTCCTCTGTGCCTCACTTCCCATCTCTAAAATGTGTCCTGAATGTTAGCTGAAGCCCAACTGTGTGAAGCTGGTGCAGACGGTGTTTTCCTGGCTCAGTCTATATCTAGACTGCAGGCTTCTTTCAGAAGAAACTTTTCTGGAAGAGATCTTCTGGAAAAACTTCTTCCAAAAGACAGCATCCACACTGCAAAAGTGCACTGAAAGATAGCGTCCATACTGAATGGACGCTGTCTCACTTTTCATCTGTGATTACTATGGATGGAGTGGCCACTAGGGCACCTGACTTCTTCCCTTTTCCTCTTCTTTCGAAAGAACTCCCTCTTCCCCATCCACACATGCCTTTCAGAAAAAGGCTTCTTCCTCACAGAATGAAGATTACCAATATTGGGGGGAAAAAACCCTCTGTTCTTTTGATTTTCTTTCGGAAGAATGCAATTGCAGTGCAGATGTAATTGAAGTTTTTTCAGAAAAACGGCCATTTTTCCAAAAAAAACCCTCTGTAGTGTAGACATACCTTCAAAGAAAAGGAAGAGCGCATGCTGTGTAGGATCTCTTTACTCTTCTATAAGGTTTAGAAACCTCCATGTTTGTTTTTTTACTCTTTTGTTTCAACACCTTGATGTAGAGGAGACTATAAACCCTCAAATGAGACAGCAGAAGCATATGCTGGTGCATAATATCAGAGAAGTTGCACAGAGGATGCTGAAGTATTCATGGAGGAATCTACAGGTGGGAGAAGTCTCTCGATAGGAAGGGTACAACAGACCGCCAGAAGTTTATATAAGGGCACAATGTACCTCTGTGTATATTATGATATTTTAGATTGTAAACTCCTGAAGGCATGGACTGTCTCCTTTTGTGTTTGTACAATGGACCCAATAGGGTCCTAATCTGTGACTGAGCCCTCTACGCACTACAAACGCAATGCAACAGTATCTATGCAGGTCTGAGAACAAACATGGGAACACTTTAGTGGAAAGTGGGAATATTTCAAAGTCTCTAAAAGGAGGTTTGCAAGCATTTTAGGAGCCTTAGCAAACTAACAGATTCAGGAAAACACTGAGCAACATCTACAGGACAGGAGCATATTAATGAAGTATTAAACAGGAGGCGAGCAGAAGAACTATTGATGGGGCATTGGATTATATGAGGGAACTCTGAAGGTGCATTGGCAGGCTTCTATACGGTGTGCAAAAAGCACCGAGATTTAAAAAGAAAATGTAGAACATGGTACCGAGACAAGAGCTGTGGTAAAATTTCGAAGGGAAAATTGTTGAGCACTTTAAGGCCTCCAAACAGTAAAAAAGAGACTAGATTTTTTCAGGAGTATGGCTGTGATACAGAATTGGGATAATTAGAGTAAGGAAATAAATACAAACCTGGAACTTCTATCTGGAACATATATAGAAGTGTTTGGGTGATCTCCAAGAAAAATGGATAGTCAGAGCAAAGAAAAGGAGACAAAGGAACACAAAATTTTCACAATTAGGGTTCTTGGCTATATCAGGCACTATAGGGCTTCAAATAATCTTTAGAGTGGTGTCCAAAGCACATTGGAGAGAAATAGGATGTAATATATGGGTGAGCAAGATAAGGCCAGCGGGCCAGATACAGCCCACCAAGCCATTTCATCCAGCCCGTGTCCCTGCTGCATCCCTGCCGCCCCCAGGCCAATTGAGACCCGGGGCAGGGAGAGCATGCAAAGTCTCCTCCCTCTACCAGGGGTATGTGGCATCAGACGGAACTGCCAGCTGTTCAAAATAGTTGACAGTTCCTCCTAGACATCACGTGCCCAAGCAGGGAGATCTCACGTGCTTCCCTGCCCCCAGGCCAATCAGGAAAATCTCCTTCCCACACCAGCGGCACATGGAACCAGAGGGAACTGCTGGTTCCCTCTGGGCACTGCGTGCCCCTGGCAGGGCAGTGGGGGATGAGGGGGAAGAGACCTCCTGTGCTTCTCTGCCCCACGGAGGAGCACACGAAAGTCACCTCCCACCACACACAAACAGTGGTAGCAAACAAAGCTTCCTTTAATAAAAAATAAATCACAAAATCACTATCATCACTTCAAACATTATACGAAATGGGAATGCCACTGGAATGTGCAGTCCCAATATATATATAAAACCTTCATTACTGGATTTAAATTTAAGTTAGGCTCAGGAGCTTGTTATTTACATCATAAGTGCTATAAAAGGGCAAGAGAATCACTCCCCTGAAAAAGCTTATTACCTAAATTAAGAAATGGGTCAGCACAGGTACAGATACATAAAATCATCAAAGTGCAAAACTGGAAGGACCCTTACTAGATCATATAATTCAGTCCCTGCACTGAAAGCAGAACTATATAAAAACTACACCAGTGGTCCCCAACCTTTAGAAGCTCCTGGGCGCCTTGGGGCGGGGCCACTCACGCGTTGGGCGCCCGGAGGCGGGTCCGTGCGTCCTGGGGCACACCAGGGGCGGGGATGCCCTTGCACCCGGCGCTGGCATGTGCCCCGGGGCCGGGGCCACTTGAGCGCCTTGTGCCGTAGGCCCAGGGCCGGCG